ATCGCGATATTTCAAATATCGTAGCGACTGAAACATGAGGCGGCCTGGCGCAGCACATTCAGTTGCCTGAGAACATCATAAACGAGAGATTCAGCTGGGTTCCAGGTGAGTCTCTCGAAAGAACCAAATTAGTTTGCAGATGAGTGTATATTCGCTAAGGACTGATAAAGCCTAATCGTGCAGATCAGCTGGCGAAACTAGCTGGCTCTCAGGCAGTTAATTATGTTCCGTTAATGAACTCCCCTAATAGAACGGAAGTTATGGAAAAAGGTGGACTATCTTCACATTAGGTTTAGACCCATGCAACAAAGCGCAGTTTGTTTAGACTTAATACAATACTCATAAGGTTGCCGGAAATTCTTAGACAGCCCATGACCGGTTCCACCCTTCTTGAGGTTCATCAGGTAGGTAGAGTCCTCGAGTTTCCGTCAACCTTATGTTCTACTCGAAACCGAATTGCACGAAATTAGCGAAATACACTCGTTTGTAAGCAAATTTGGTTTGTTGAGAGACTGGAACCCAGCTGAATCATTAATAAGAAATTCTGTTGGGTTCCAGGAGAGTCTCTCGCAAAACCAACTTTTGTTTGCAAATGAGTATATTTCGCTATAGTTTGTATAATTCTATTCATTTGTTTTGGGTGGGATGGTTCAACATGTTGACAAGATAACTCAAAGGACGTTGTGGCGATTCAGCTAGCAGTAGTGACGCAGTTGTGCAAGTGCATATGTGAGTAAACTGCACGTCCAATGATATGCCTGAACATCCATAGGTCACGTTTCGGCGTCCGAGGACTAAAATACCGTCGTCCACCGCATCAGTTAGGTTAGTTTACACTGGCAACACTTTAAATGATATCGGTCTTCATCATGGTGCAAAATGGAACTGGTAGCTCATAAGAGCTCGCAGATAACTGGACCGAAAGAACCGTCGACGTTTCCCATTCTTGTGTAGCTTGTGTACACCATAAACATGAAGTTGACATTTTATAGGTTTATAAGAAGGACTAGCCAAATCAATTTCACATGGAGAAAAAGGGCCAATGCTATGACGCAAGCGCAGTGCAAATTCCGACTTTGATAGGGGAATTCTATTATGCAATCGCAGCAGCCTTCCGACACCTAGATACCATGCAATCCACAGGGAAATCAAAAGTTGCGATTCGAGTTGCTGCTCAGGATTCGAATAATTAGTTATTAATATGGTTATGTCTTACTAGAACGCCCGTCAATTTCAAGTGAGGATATCTTCCATGTGGTGCGTAGTTTAAACCATTAGATTAGGAAGCACCATCATCGTATGTATTGAAAATTCATTTTGATCACCAAGCCAAGTTCTTGGTTTAGCGTGGTGAGAGGCTCCGGATTGAATAAAAAAAAAGCATTTCTTAACGCAAAACAGGACTCAAATACTTCGTGAGACTCATTCACAAGGGAACGGTATCTTCTGCGAACTTTGTTGACAATGACATCGTAGAATGTTCCACTGGTGACGCTCGTTGTTGGACTTTGGCACGCTCTTTTTTAGCGATGTACTGACTGGTTCGACTTTATTCTTGTTACTCAATTCAGGTTGGGAATAATTTGTACAGCTTCTTTTGTCAACTTTTTCTCAGTTTTTCTGTATTCTTTGTAACGTTACACACACAACATTCATCCATAATTTAAAACGGTCTGTGAATTCGCATTTGATCGAGTGACGCAAGTAGTTATCACCTCTGTCACACTTATGGGAATTGGCATTTCTCTACACCACACTACTTACAATGTTGCTGAAAACCCATTGGGCTTTCTAGATCGTATCAAGGAAAAATGCTTCGATATCTTGAATACCGGCGGCCATCGTGATGCAAGGACAGGATGCAAGGAAACGATAAATGAAATAAGGATTGTTCGCGCGGCTTAGCTACTGTCACGACAAAATAGCACTGACGACAAGAATGTGATTCGGAGGACGAATATGAACATCAGGAGAACGACAGCATAGCGAGCGAATTAATGAAAAATCCACTTGCAAAATGTCACATGCGAAGGAAGGTGAGTAACGTTATAAAAAGAGTAGGTCGTACTTCTTCTGGACAGCCCAAGAATTTATTCAACAGGGTCCTGGCAAACTCAAGTTGATATTGTTATCGGCCGCGTCATGCTGTGGGCGCTTAGTGAACGCCTATCTGATGTTCAGTTGTACGACATCCCGGCTTTCTCTGTCGGGATCGACAACCATTCGGCCGTGATGACACTCACAATGTGGTATAGGGGAGAGCATTCTATGCTGATAATTTAAACGCGCTTACCTATGAATAAGTGCGATTGATCATTAAGTATTATACGTGCGCGTAGCCCATTCACACAAAACAGTAAACATAAGTAGTGAGCGGTTTTTGCATCATGCCAACGTACAAGATAGGTACACATTTCATAAAATACGTTGACAGACTGTGCTCAAGAGCTCATTGTCTAGACCCTTAAGGTTGTCAGTCAATCGCAGTGAGACAAGTGACGGACTGATGGCGCTTGTCTTAACGTCAGACACGATAAGAAGTACACGTTGACAGTTCGTTTGTGGTGTTTTTTCTTCTATGGGAGTTGTGCATCATTTTGTCACTGTCGCTGTTGTCCGAATGGTTGATATTGTCAGTGGTTTAAAGGAAATAAATGTTGAACTTAATTACTTCCGCGTTCTAAAGACGAGCATACTACCAGTTTTCAGGATGTCTGACTCAGTGAGAAGCATACGCGCTAGCATATAACTTTCCTAACCTGGCGGACACTAGGCCAGATAAACAAAACTGTCTGCTGCAATAGCATGCGCCAGTCACGAGGGCACGTGACCGTCTACAAAACCAAATATGGAAACAATACAGACAGGATAGACAGAATAAAACTAACGTGTCTCGGTTGTGCCCACAGATTAGGGTGCAATATAATTGCAATATTCAAACTGGCTCAGTGTTGAAGTCAGTGGAACGTTTTTAACATCTGCATCACTGTTGCAGGTGTACATTGCAGGAACACATAAGGTCCTGGAAAAATAGGACAAACAGTTGCGTAAAGCAATGTGGATACACTGCATTCGCCAGAGTACCAAAGTTTCACACGCGCTCTATAACACCACTCTCTGGTGGTGCATAACGCTGTACATAACTTCACTTTATATCAACAGAGGCCCATAAATGAAGTGGGAGAGAAAGTGACTGCACATCCTCATTGCCTTAGCTTCGGGACATCCAAGTGATCAACAAGCGACTCGCTGATCGGGAAATCCATTGCTCGAGTTCCTACCTCACTCTTGTTTGGATCTGGGGAAGGTGACAGTATCTCAGTCTTTGGGCTTCCGAGAGCTTTATCGTCGTCAAATGGTAACATCTCCGCTCCAAGCCAAACGGACAGTAAGGTAATCAGACGCTAAAGAGATACTGCAACTGAATACCTCAGCTTCGTCTGAGATGGGCTTTCATTTAGTGGACCACGTTCGTATAAGTGATTAACAGCCGTGTATTATTATAACCATCATAGATACTGAAACTGATACTGATGTACAACCATAGACATCTATCTAGAAAGCTTCAAAGTAGGGAAAATAAAGAGAAAAGGGCTTGTCACGACCATATTAAGACGCATACGTCTCCAGAGAACAACTCAGACGATCGTAACGGAAACTGGTAGCACGGATATCCTTGACACAGGATGGCAGTCGATACTTCAGCGATAAACACAAGATCGTGACGGCTCCAACCCTGACTTATGCACAGCTTGCATAGGTCAGTCATCCTCACAACACGAAATGGATCGAATACGTGCCTGGTAAGTGTGTACAGTTGAGATGTTATTCATTTTGTCTGCATGCCCACTCATCAAGGTTTTGGGACTCAGTTTTTCCGAAACGGTTTTCTGCGAGTAGGAGGTGTTGCTTTGCTGTACATGCTAGATCAAGAACTACATGAATTTCGAGAACCTTTTGATAACTTCCTCTGTCATGAAAGTGACGAATATCGTCAGACCAGTCTTGTCAAGGCGTATCCTGTACAAGCGGGAATTTGCACCCATCAAACGATCAACACATCGTACAACCACACTATTACCACTGACTAGGTCTGTCCGTCAGAACTAATCTACAGATGTGCCTTGCCATCATCCCAAAATCGGTTATCAGCTTCAGTAAGACCACATCCCAAAGTACATAATATCAATACCGGCTCATCCGAGACCGGGTGAACTCTTCGGAATGATACTCACTGACCATGAGGAATGATTATCGACCTGATATGAAACTGATTCTCACTAACCTTACGGGTGAATACGGCAGCGAATCACCCGTATCAACATTAGTGTTGTTGTCCCTGATGATCATTTTTCCAGAGATCTTACTTCAACCTGCTGTCACACCACTATTATGATTCGCAATAATGCCTTACAGCTAAGACAGGGGACATTTGAACAAAATGAAGGATAAAAAACAAGCCAGTAGGCAATGGAAGGGGAAGATAGTAATGCAATATTTAGACAAAATGTTATCGAGCTTACCTCAGGAATGTATCACTTTAGAGGATGCGGTAGCGATGTGTTTGTACACCACTGGATGAGGACTTAGATGAGGCTTAGATTCCTGTGATCATGGGTGTAGAGAGCTGGTTACACTACGGCAACATCTGCAGAGAAAATGCAAATGCACGCTATTTCCTCCCTATCTAAACACATTGATCGGTCTGACGCATCGGGGTCTGCTTCTGGACCATGTGGAAAGGATTGGTTAAAACAGCGACGTAAGGCTGACGACCATAGACCACAGTGTTGAGTGTACGTCACACTGGCTGTGTGTGAACAACTGACCAATGGCGATAGAGTGAACTAGCAAGCAGCTAGGCCAACGCAATCTGACGTGATGCATAGACGCTCGGTCTGCTTCTTACAGACATGGGGTGAATTTCGTCCTGACACGGCTTTCTCCCTTGCGTTCAACGACACAGGTGAGTGTGTCTACGCTCGAGGATGAGAGCCAATCGCGCCTCGTGTGACGCGTGCATACAGTGACACAGATAGCGGACGGTCATACGTTGATCGATAGACAGACACGTTCTTCTGCACGTGCCTCTGCGACTACGGTGGCGTCGTGCCGGCAATGCGACACGGCTGATACAATAGCCCGGAAGGCCGAAGGCCTGTATATGCGAGGGGATCAGATGTCGGCCTGGTCGCACTGGGCCAAAGCGAATCGGTACTGCGCGTGATCGATGGACGGTAGATTTACCTACAAAGAACAGCCTAAGGATGCTTTCAAACTAAGATCTTTCGTACAAAAACGATCTCTTTCTCTGGTCGCCTCAGCAGCCGCGCTTTTTTTACCAGAAGGGAAAAAAGCTTTTTAGATTCACCTTAAAACCCCGTTAGGTCAACGAAATTCCAACACGATTCTAATCTAATGAAACGATACTGACTTCTCTTGGTCACCGGAATTACACAAGAAGCTCATGATGTGTGAAGAAATCCGATAACTTCACCATTCCTTCGTACCACAACAGTTCAAATTTAATGAAGTCCATACGACTATTAGATATTGCTGAAGTCAGTCGGTAGCCCACCACCGACAGCTCGTAGTAGGTTGAAGAATTTCATTTCCATCGATAGAATCTGTAGGCTATCAGCATAGGTCTTGAGGTCTTACACCCAGGCTTTCAGCTGCCCCCTCCCCTATCCCACAACTGCTGAACATAGCGGTTTCACTGGAGAAGTGAATGTCAAGAAGTGATAATGTCGAATATATTATTGTTTGAGGGTGGAGATGTCCGAGGAAATAAGTGGAGAAAGAAAGTTTAATGTTAGCCAGCCTCCGACCGGTTTCTCTTGAAAATGCCTGTATATGGTTTTCGTGTGTTTTTGCTCACAAAGATAGGTCGTCGGCTGTCGACGGATTTTCAGCAACCTTATGAGTAGTACATTACAAAGATAGCACTTCGTTCCACGCTAGAATACGATGGTGTCGTACCTAGTGACGGTGAAGTCTACTCACTTCGCTGGCTGATCCGTTGAAAATGGTTGACTTCATCTGCTAGTACACTGCTTCGGACGACAGCCGCGAGTTTGTGAGCACACTCGATGTGAAGGAAGTTTAGCCCAACCGTTTTCATAGCCTGGATTTCCCTTTGGGACCCTAGTGGGCAGGTAAACAAAGCGACTGACTTCATTCTATAAGTTTGGCATCATATTCACCCACAGTGAATCGTTTTGAAAATGAGCACCAATTTCACGAAGGAGGTGCTTACTAGCCTAGAAAAGGTCATATGATCGCATTAGGAAGACACCATAAAAATGGTTAGCTGTTGACAAACCTGTGAGTGACAGTTCTACATGAAAGTGAACTCCGCCAAAAGAACCTGTCTTCCTGTTGAGGAGGCTACCACGCGTGGTAATGAACGATCCTTTTTTGCAGTAAGAGAATCAACCTGAAGACGTTATCCACTTAACTTCTCTTCTTCAGGTCCTATGGTCATGGTGCACCGAGTGACCGAACACAATCTATATGTAGTTGCATCACTTTGGAACAGTGTTGTTCAGTTTTTAACCCGAGTTTGCCTTCAGTGGCAGACTGCTAAGCTTTGCCCAGTACTACTATTACTAGTATTATTGAGCATCTAAAATTTCACGACTGCCTGGATGAAGGCGTCTGCGTATCTCATAAGACATACAAGAAACACACTCTGTATACTGTGGACACGCTGTCCAAACTCTTGAAAAAGAAAGGCCGCAGTACTAAAATGAAATCTGACGTGGATGCTCTCAATGATGAAGAAGAACAGCAAAACGGATGGAGGTTTACCTCAGTTTTCAACTATTGCGATTATTTATACCCTGTGATGACAATTCCGACGACTGGATAGGTCTAGATAGTGTTGATCATAGTTCAATGCTCTGAATTCGGGATTACCTGCCAGTGACTACCATAAAACAAAACCAAACTTGGAAGGACGCTTGAGGCAAAAGTTACTACTGATTATGATGAAGAAAACTGGACAAGCTGGAGAGGTAAGCACTTCAGTCCAGTCCAAAGATATTCCAAAGCGGTACAGTTTGCTTCGCAAAGTTCAGTGTGCAGATACAAAGTAGAGCATAACCACTCGTAACAGCTGCAACGGTTGTGGGCAGAAATAGTAAGCAATGAATTGCAACCCCGTTGGAACTGAGCGACATTTGCACCGACCTGTTTCCGAGTTTTCGAAAAAAAAGTTCCCAACGTGTGTTGATGCGAGTATTCGCGTCACCCCATTTCATTCGCCCCTTGATTTTGTCGCCAACGCTGGATAGCTAGAAATACTGGGTATTTAGATTACCTAAAGTAGTTTAAATACAGTGAATGCTTAGAGAAAGTCCACTTTCTAGTCCCGGTTCCAGGGGAGTTTGATGCTTTTCGCTTGACATGGCATGCTTGAAGTCAGGATTGCAAATCCTCACACCAACCCACCTATGTATTGGGTCCAATTGCGGTGATGATACGAAACGGGACTTGTTAGCGGGTGCTTATTTTTGTAGAAGTTATTGGTATTACTAGTTCTCAGTACATCACCACCCTCCCAACAAACAGCGAAGCCTGTTATTAAATTACCAAGAAAATTCCCACTTAGTAGCTTTTGGACCAAAACATTTTCCAGGTACCATCTGGTGACACATTTATGAATGTCCATCGTTGTGGGTTGCTCCTACCGACTTTGCGTTCAGTCCTCCTTTCAGAGTAATATAGTATGAGGACAACTATCCCTAGAACCTTCTACTGCATATATCTACCTGATTTGCACAACTGTTAGGGCTACATAGTGGAACTTAAACCCCAAAGCGTTGCCCTCAAGGATACAAATAACTATAGTAAATCGGAATACATGCTCTCGCACTCGCACGCACTCACGCTCTCGCACTCGTTTGTTCGGAATATAGCGGTTGTGTTCCCTTCTGTGAGTCTTTTTTCTCCGGCTTTAGGCACTGGAGCTGGTCAGCGGCAGATACCACAGATTGACGAATTAGCAGATACAACTAATGTATTTGACTTACGCCTTGTTACACATACTACCAACGGGTGAGCACGTGAACTTTCGGACCCACGCACCATCCACAACAAGCGCTTAGTGTTTTTCTTCTTGGTCTGTTGGAAAGTCGCCTACAATATTTCTGTGCATGTGATAGCTGTAACAAGTACACAGACTGCCAGTAGTTTACCACACGCAGACTTCTTAACTGGCTGGCTCACACAAAAGGTCACTTTCTGTCAATGAACACAGCCCATCTGTCTGTACAAAGTAGTGCTAGCAAAGTCATTTGGCCACAGCCAAAACGTAGCAAGCAAGAATCTAATGTTTGGCGTACAACAGTTTTCCGGGCTTGATTCTCGAGTTGACAGATACAGGGTCATTCAGATAAAACAACAAAGTCACTAATAACACAGAACTCCATAAACATGTGCACTCAATAGTCAATAGTCAGGTGTAGGTTGGACGTGAAGACATATTTGTCTACACCACAGAAGTCAAAGTTTGATCCTGAAGTACCCAACGGGTCAGTTTCTTTGAAACATTTACAAGGAGAGGGTAGCAAATGGTGGAGCGACAAGAGGTTTGAGAAATGTTACACCCTTTCCAAGTACAATTTCCCATCGTCCCAGTCTTTTTACCGCTGTCCTACTGTCGTCGTTGTCCCATTTGGACTCAGTACGACACAATGAATCAAGTGATTGCACTACGTTCTTAGGGTTGCTCTCAGTGATGTTGCGGCCAAAGGATGCTGCGGTAGACCACTGCAGCCGTTCCGCTAATGTCTGTGCTGAATGTCCTGGACAAAAAAGGAGACATACAAAACGAACAAACAGAAGAGACGAAACGTGGTAAGAGGATTCGGTTACCTGTCGTGCAGGCCCGAAGTAAGTCTCCAAAGAGGAGCTTGTCAGGGAAACTGACCACTAGATCTGAACTTTATTCAAAAACGAGGAGAGAAACGAATCTACCAGGCGAATCAGCCCAGTGATGTGAAAAGTGGCGGCTGTGTTCTTAATGTACCTACCTCACGGTACAGCAACGTCACAATCAACACCGTTAGAGCGCACTTGTTTTCGAGAATTGGTGAGTGTTATTCAAATAGGACCAGTTCCGACTGAAAATAAATTGTTCACAACATTTTGAAACACTCAACTTTACCGGAAAACTGTATTTGCTGGAGTAGCTAAGCGTCATCTAAGCACTAATGGTGGAATGTACTGTTTTCCTGATGTTCTAGGAGCCACAGACTGAGGAAAATAACACGTGCTTTTACACCACTAGGTACTTTACGGCAGACCGTGGTGATTGTCCGAGGTGTGTTCCGGTGATTCCCGCTGACGAAACTGAAACAAGCACACAGAACAAGTTACATTACGACTGAAGATAATATAATCTCGTCGCATTTTCCCGCATGTAAGCATGTAAGCATGTCTCAAATACCGAAGTTTAGGGGAGAGGACACGCATCGATCCCTGGTGTCAATTCTAACACGAAATCTTCCAGAAACATCTAAAATATATGTCCTTCGGTTAGTTATCTGAGACGGTTGATAAGTTATAACAGGAACTCTTGGAAAGAACACAGAGTGACAACAAATCTAGCATACATCATTGCGTCCTTTTGATCAACTCTGTCTTTTGTGGTGACTGAAGGTAGTTAAGCTGGTCAGCAAGCTATAGCGAGGACCACGGGAAGAGTGACTCTTTGCTATTATC